AATCAATAAAATTGGAGTGGAAGACGAACTCGTACGTCATATGTTTATAAAAGCTCTTCCAACAACAATTTTTTCAGTCATCGCATCTCAAGAAGATTTCGATCTACAGCGACTGGGAAATTTAGCTGATGAATTAATCTCATTTGCTAAAAACGAAATTTGCGCTATGAACAGAGAATCCACGAACAGCAACAACACACTTTTCAACAGAACGAGTTCAACAAACAGCATCCCTGATACGAACATCCCAATCACGTTCGCCCATTTTATAAAGACCAACGCACTAAAATCTGCTGAGGTCACATATATTTTGGGGACAAATCGAAAACGTGCAAATTATGGTGCAGATGGCCAAACAAAAAGTTTACAAATTCAACCATCTTCAAGATCTCCATCCATTTCCAATTCAGATGAGATCACCCGCAAACAACATTTCTTCACCCAAACCGTCGGAAAACTGACTAGGCGAACCGAAGTCGCATCAATCGGCTCGCCACTTTTTGAAGTTGTTGCGCTTGAATTGGATGCACAACATTAAAATTAGTAGTAGATACAGGGCGCATCAGTCATAATCATCCCAAGAAAATTTTCAGCAGGATTATGTTTGCAACCCACTGCCGTTCACCTGTCAACTGCGAGGGGTCAAAACATTACCTGTCATGGAGAAATCATTGCACAGAACATATAAATGGAATGTTGTAATTGCAGATATTGTCAAACCTTTGTTAGGCAAAGATTTTTTAAGTCATTATAAATTCCTTGTAGATTGCACAATTACAGACTGATTGACACAATGACAAAAAAAAAACGATTACAACAAACGTTTTGCAGAGTTCCGTTTAGCAAATTCACATCAATAAACCGCCAGTTCCCCAGATAGTAACGAAACTCATCAATAAATTTCCAATGTTGATTGAACCAAGAAATGAAAATAAAATAAAAATCAACTCAAAAGTAAAACACATCATCGACACTGGTGAAAGCTAACCAACATTTGCCAAGGCTCGCCAACTGTCTGAAGAGAAATATAAAGTAGCAAAAGAGAAATTTACGTCTTTACTAAACTCCGGAATCATCAGACAATCTAAATCTCTCTGGGCTTCTCCACTCCATCTAGTTCCAAACTGTACTTCTGGACAATGGAGAGCTTGCGGAGATTATCGTTGTGTAAATGCCATTACGAAACCAGACAGATATCCAATTCCAAATATTCAATGCATCTCAACTAAAAAGATATTTTCAAAATTGGATTTATTAAAAGCCTATCACCAGATACCAGTACATGAAAACGATATTGAAAAAACAGCCGTAACACCTTTTGGGCTCTGAATACATGTTTATGCCTTTTGGTTTGCGAAATGCAGGATGTACATTCTAAAGATTCATGGATAATATCTTCCTAGGTACCGACTGTGTTTTTGTTTATCTAGACGGCATTCTCATATTTTCAGAAAGCACTGAACAACATGAAAAAGATTTAGAAATGGTATTTCAAATCCTTAGCAAAAATAATTTGAGAATCTCTATAGACAAGTTCCAATTTTACAAAGAAAATCTAAATTACCTAGGATTCAACATCAGCGGTGAAGGACTATTTTCTACAAAAGAAAAAATAAACGAAATTGAAAAATTTCCAGTTCCAAATGATACTAAATCTTTACGTAGATTTTTAGGAATGATTGGTTTCTATCGCAAACTCATTCCACAATTTGCAGATATTGTATTTCCATTAACAGAACTAATAAAGTTACATCCATACTCAAAAACAATAGTGTTTAATAACGAAGAATTTGACACTTTAAAAACCATCAAATCTAAACTTGCAAACGTAACAACGCTTCCATATCCAGATTCAAAATGTACAAAATACCACTTAGTTATTGACAGTTCTGCTTACGCCATAGGTGCAGCACTGCATCAAGTAGTTGATTCAACTCCTGTACCAATCGGTTTCTACTCTAAAATGTTAACTGAACCACAACATAACCTTTCTACATTCGACAGAGAACTACTAGCAGCATACCTTGTCGTCATCCATTTTAAATATCAGATTGAAGTAAGAAATGTAACTCTATTTACTGATCACAAACCATTATGCGCTGCCTACAAAAAGAAAACACCATTAAAGTCAGACGTTCAAAAACGATATCTTTCAATGATATCAGAATACATTGCAGACGTCATTTATATCCGCGTTGAAGAGAACGTTGTTGCAGATTGTTTCTCTCGGCCAGCAAATGGTGTAAAGATAGATGTCTGACTTGTGGTCGATAGCGGAGCAACAAGAAATTGATGATAAAATAAAATCATTCAAGGATCAGTTGAAACAATATCCAATTGGCGATAACAAAAAAAATATTTTTATGATGTATCAACACCATACCCCAGACCATACATCCCAGTTAATTTGAGAAAAGCCATATTTGACAGTTTTCATAACCTCTCACATCCAGGTATCAAAACATCAATACGATTAATCAAATCAAGATATTTTTGGCCAGATATAGACAAACGAATAAGAACATGGTCAAGAGAGTGTTTAAACTGTTAACAAAACAAAATTCACTGACACACGAAATCTACAATATCATCATTCAATTTACCGTGTGCACGTTTTGAGACTGTAATTCCGTTACCTCCAGTCAAGCAAGAAAATGAAACCTATTCAAGTCCATTCAGATATTTACTCACATGCATTGGCAGAACAACTGGTTGGATCGAAGCATCTCCAATGACAGAAATATCAGCTTCAACAGTTGCTACAACTTTCTTGAACATTTGGATCGCTCGATTCGGCGTCCCTCTTTATGTTGTCACAGACCGAGGTACACAATTTGAGAGCGAATTATTTAACGAACTATCAAAAATAATTGGATTTTACCGTCTGCGTACAACAAGTTATCATCCACAAGCCAATGGAAAAATAGAACGTCAGCATCGTACCTTGAAAACAGCAATTAGTTGTCGTAAACAAAACTGGTTAGATGCATTAGCTGTCGTTCTTTTAGGACTTAGAAACATGCCAAATGGAAATGGAATATCCCCAGCAATAGCAGTAACAGGAACCAACTTGTTATTACCAAGTAGATTTTTATCCCCAGATTCAAATGAAGATATAACATCTAGTCAAATCAAACAACTAGCAAAAGAAATGTTTAATTAAACTTAATAACTACCTAACAACTAACAATCAACATCACTCTACCCCAAAAACTTACGTACCAAATAAACTTTCAAACAGTAGTCACGTGTTTTTAAGAGTAGATCGAGTACGTCGTCCACTGAAAGCACGATATACTGGCCCTTTCAAAGTGATTGAACGTAACGACAAATACTTTGAAATTGAATTGTTACCAGGAAATTTTCAAAATATGTCAATTGATCGATTAAAGCCAGCTTGTTTATCATTACCTCCAACAACCAAAACCAGAATAAACAACGAGAATAGTTCGACAAACTTTCTACAACTGATACAACAAAACCAGCAGCATCAGACACAAAATCTATTAAAACACCAGAAACAAGACCGATGTCAACCACATCGGAACCAACAACTTAACACTCCAGAAAAGGGAGACGAATAACATTCAACAAACGAAATGAATATTTTTATTTTTAAACGGCTCTGCCTTTTGTGGGGGAGTATTGTAGGGATCAAACATTCATTTATTAACTATCTTATATATTGATTATTATTAAAGATTATTGCAATTTTCGATGTTACCTAATCTATGTTAATTTTTATTTCTTTGCTTCTCACTCGATCTTTTTTCTTTTTCCTGAGAGCTTGTAAACGAGACGGTTCGAGATTCACGATAGAATAAAGTTAACATTTGTTTATGCCTGAATTGTGTTTGTTTTGTTTATTTTACTTCACTAACAGTCTTGTTAGTAGCAGAACGCTCGTACTAACAGTGTCTATTTTTCTATCCCAGGTACTGTTCTCAAACAAATTTCAACACTTGCTTTCTAATTTTACTTGAATACAACTACTAAATGAAAGATACTTGAAAAAAACATCTGTGATTATAATATATTAAGAAGAAAAAAGAAAGAACTTTCAATAATTTACTAAAATTGAAAAAAATTTCAACCTGTTGAATAATTATTAAATTTAGTGAAAATGATAAAACAATGAAACATCAGCATAATCATGAGTACAAAACGTTCTCACATCATAATCTTGAAAAATTGAATCAAACACACTTATTCCATCATATTAAGGCATTAATTTAGAAAATTTTCATTTATAAATGATTTTTCCACTAACGTTTCAAGACAGTTAACACTACATTCTGCATACTATTAATAGAATGCACATCACTTTAAAAAAATAGTTGCACAGTGCATTTCATGAAGTCTATTTTCTGTATTAAAGATGATTATGTATCGTTAAACACATATCTTTTAAAAGCTTCTAACAGTGCGATCTTAATAAATTATTTTAAAAAATTCAAATTTTTAAAACTTTCCGGAGTCGAATGAAAAAAATTCGTTTCCAATTCCGGCCCCTTATAAAATTTCTGACTCCGAAATTCCGAAATATCCGACTCCGAAATTCTCCAACAGTTTGTCGAACGTGATGTGGTATTGTTGAGGTTGAGTCCGTTTTTGAGAATCATCTCGTCGTTCGATCGGCTGCACTCACCCCTCTTCTATCACTGTTGTATGCTTGTTTATTTTATTATTTTACTTTTGTATGACGTATATTTTTCGGATATTTTTCTTGAGTATAAACCACCCTGGTTAATGAGTGTTATTGTTGTTTATTCTGCTTTTGGGCTTGTAAGTGTTTTTTCATACCCTTTTCAAGTTAGCTAGAGTGTCTTGCAACGAGGATTTTATTTTTTTATTTGGTCTTCCTTTTTTTTATTTAATAAAATCTTTTTGTATGTTTATTAATATTTATGATTGAGTCATTCCAAACAATTATTACTTATTATGATGATTTATGATGTATAAAATGTTGACATTGATATATAATATGATTTTTTTAGTTTATCATGGTTGCAAATGGAGGTCTTGGTAATGGAGTTAGTCGAGAAAAATTGTACCTATTATTTTCTGGTTTTGGTACCATTCAAGATATTCAAATGAAGCCAAAAAGATCATACAGCATATTGAACTTTGACGATGTTAATGATGCACAAATTGTATTTAACAAATTCAATAAATTTTGTGCTATAAAGGATGAAAGTGAAAAGGATGTACATCTATGTTTGGCTTTCATTGAGAAAAGTAAAGATTAAACGTATTTAATATTCTTATTGAATTTTCTTATTTCTTATTGATATAAACTTTATTTTCACTTGATATTTTGCATAATTTAAGTTCTACTACGCAGAATTGTGATTTTTTACTATCTCAATAGACGCTATGCTAAAACAGTTTCTACGGGAAGTGTTCTAATGGTTTGTTTACATTTTAGTGCCTTACTTAGAAGACTCTAATGCAATGCATTACCCACAAGGACTAGAAATAGTAAACGATTTCGTTTCTGAGAATGAAGAAAAAATGTTTCTGGACTATTGTGACTGGGGGGAGGAAGGTGGTTATATCAATTTTTTAATTTGCTTAGCATTTTCATTTTGACTCGTAGATGATTTATACCCTTTTTTTTCATTAGATTCAATATCTTTAAAGAACAGAAGAGTAAGACACTTTGGTTATGAATTCAACTATAAAGAAAAGACTATTTCTAAACTCAACGGTTTGCTTAATAGGATACCACAATTTTGCTGTGATTTATTAAAAAAGCTAAAGCAGTTGAATTACGTCACCGAAGATTTTGATCAGTTGACTGTCAATCAGTATAATCCTGGCAAAGGTAATAAATCTGTTTGTTTTTAAAATAATTTTCTCATTATAGTTTAATTATACTTCTTGATATTGTTAGTTTGAATTGTGTGCATTGATAGCGACCGGATAATGTGATGTAGTTGAATGCAAGTGCAATGTTTGAGGTGTGTTGATTCAGGTGTGTTTAGAAACTCGAACATAACACGGAAAATTTTCAGAGGAAGAGTTTCCGTCGACGAGTGTTTCGGTCTTTTAACTTCCTGACACATTCAAGAAACAGGGCCACACCTAGTTATCAGTTGGATGTCGCTTGCTAGACAAACAATTTGCCTCGCTTTTGAAATCACCTCCTGAAAAATTGTGTAGGCGTGCCAGAAAGTTTTTATATAATCACATCACAGCAAGTAATATATGGACAAGTCACACGTTAGACCAAATCTGGGAGTGTTGAGTAATCCACAAATATTCAAGCTTGTCTGTTAAATATTCAAACTCACATTCTTTTTTTTCAAATTCAAATTTATTTTTTTCTTCTTTTTTTCTTTTTTTTCTTCTAGTCCTGGGCATGACATAAAACTGCATTTACGCTGCTTTGCGTGCTTTTGAGCAAAAGGCTAGGCCCACCGCTTATAACTGGTAGTTGTCGTCAGGGTGGGTGTCCGGATGTAAAAAGTTTCCCCAAAATATATTCCATGCCATCACAAAAAACAACGGCCCCTAGTCCCCGGCAGGCCTTAAGTGGTCAAGGGGTGCTAAGAATCTCTGGGAAGTATGCAATAGCGGAGAAATATTGCAAATAAATTCAGAATGGCCCCTCTATGGTACTTAGACTTGGAACGCTCATTGTTGGATCACTGACTGGTAGCAGCATGGAAATCGCAGAAATGCTCGAGATTGACATCTGCTGCCTTAAGGAAACTCGATGGAAATCGAATGGTGTCAATCAATTCAGACAAAGAAAAATATAAACTATTCTGGAATAGTCAAAAGACGACTAAAAATGGTGTTGGAATTTTTGTCAAAGAACCGCTGCCCAATAAGTACTGGATATTAAAAGGATAAACTCACGTCTCATGTGGATCAAGATTCGCCTAGAAAAGCAAACAATGACTATTTTTCTGCATACGCATCACGGACAGGCGAATCAGAAAAAATTAAAAATGACTTCTGAGCTGCGTTCTCTGACAACCATCTCAACAATACTAAAATCTGAAAGAATCCTGATTGCAGGCGATCTCAATGGCCACGTTTAAGAGAAAACAGATGGTTTTGACAACGTGCATGGCGGTTTTGGCTATGGAGAACAGAATGAAGATGGCAACCATATCCTTGAGTTTGCTGAAAGTCACGGGTTTTGTTTACTGAACACATATTTTAAAAAGAGGTTGGAACATCTCATAATATACAAAAGAGTACCATCAGCCACGCAAATTGATTTCTTCGCTGTCAAGCAACCACACCGAAGGCTATTCAAAAATGTCAAATTTCAGCAGCTTGTCGCAACACAGACCACCAATCGCAAGCCAGTACAGATTGGAGTACATACAAAACCGTTTTGATAAACGCTGCAACTACAGTTTGTGGGAAAACTGGTACAAAACGAAAAGAAAGCTGCATACAAGCAATGGCAAAAATCAAAGTCTGTTGATGACCACAAAATGTTCCGTGAGAACAACTATGCAAGACGTCATGTCGCACTGGCTCGGACAGATCAGTGCAAAGAGTGGCTCACTAAAAGCAAAGGTGAACAAATGAAATCTCTGTATCGTATAGGAAAACAAGCAAAGCGTACGAAAAAGACACTTTTGGTAACTCATGTATCAAAAACGACAAAAATGAGATGGTTCTTGAACAAGATGAGATCAAGCTACAGTAGAAAGAATATTTCAACCGTCTGTTAAATGAAACAAATCTCATCAATGTCAACTTTGACGTTCCACCCATCGAAGGTCCGATTTCAGACATCACTGTAGAGGAGCTTACAGAGGCTCTAAAGGCTATAAAGAATGGAAAGGCAGCAGGGCCCTCTGGACTCACAAATAACATTATCAAAGCATCCGGTACTGCAGGTATCCAAACGTTACTACAACTTTGCCGTGAAATCTGGAGAAATTGCTCAATGACGACTGAATGGAACTATAGCATGACAGTCCCGCTATACAAAGGCAAAGGCGATTTATTGAACTGTTCATCATATCGGGATATACCTCTTTGAAAATTATCGAGATAATCATTGAGAGAAGATAAACGTCGTGCATCACAATCGGAAATTATCAATTTGGTTTCCTAGCGGGGATATCAACAATTGATGCAATTCACATCCTTTGGTAACTGGAAGAAAATAACCTCGCGAAGCATCAACAATTGGAAACACCGATGCATTTGACATCGGCATTGGAGTTCACCCAGGCTCGATTCTCAGTCCACTGTTATTTATAACTGTGATGGAAGAAATTACAAAGCCGATACGCACTGGTGACATTTGGAATCTAATATATGCTGATGATATTGTTTTAACAGCCACGTCTGAGCAGAATGCAGCATAGATGTTTGAAGATTGGAACACCAGACTTGCCGATCATGGATTCAAAATCAACATCAGCAAAACCAAAGCAAGGAACTCTTGTGAATCCATTCAATCCACAGCTACTGGACGATGGCCCTGTTCAGTTTGTAAAGCTGGTGTAGGTAACAATTCAATCAAGTGCCAGCAGGGTAATCAGTGGTGTCACAAACGTTGTTCACAAATAATTGGTAATTTATCTAAAGTGTTCAATTCTGCTTGAATCATTCCGCAACAACAATTGTACTGGAACAGCTGAAGCAGCCGTTCAAGCACGCATACGTGCAGCCTGAAATAAATGGTATCTCCTTGCCTCTATATTGATGCGGCGTGACATCCCACTACCACTACAATCAAGACTTTAAAAATCTGTGATACGTCCGGTGTTGTTATATGGTGCAGAAATATGGTCATTGACAACCAAACTGGTACAACAACTTCAACGAACCGATATGAAAATGCTCCGATGAATGCAACGAATTAGTCTGAAGGACTACATCAAATCTACCGAAATCCTGCGTCGTTCTGGTTTAGATGATATAAAGAACGAATGCCGGCAACACCGTCTGAGGTGGTTTGGTCATTTCAAAAGGATTGGAAGCAGTGCCATAACTTCTCTTGCAGATGTTGAAGTACATGGCACAAGTCCCTAAGGCCGTCCAAAGAAGTCCTGGTTGCAAACAATCGAGCAAGACATGAAAGCTCTAAATTTAATTGAAATGGATACAACTGATCGCCTAATTTGGCGCAAAAAATTGATGGCAATGAAAACAACGTCCTACCTTGGAGAACTGGGTCTCTGAACGCTAAACGATGATTGATTGACATTCTTTTTTCTTTCTACATAACAATATCCAGTAAGTCGCTTGTTCGGCTGTATGTCATATGTTCATCATACCTGCCAAATCCAAATCCTTCAAAAAATTGTACACTAATCAAACCACAACACATTTTGCATCAAACTCAACTGCGTACATCAAACACCTTAGTCCACGTTGTTTTATCTAACTAACTAGCTTTTCATACCAGGCTGTTTTGATAGCTTGACTTGCTGCTATATTAGCCTTATACGGCAATTCAGTTTGACTAAGATAACAGTGTCTGCTGATAACGACTTTATTACTACATTAGGTCTCGCTCCTGTACAATCAAAAGAATATACTAGAAGCTGCTCTTCACTATAGATTTTGGTTTAGTATTGCAATTGATTGTTTTTTTTTCATCCCTTGTTCTTAAAAATAATTGCAATACTAAACCAGAATCGATAATGAAGAACAGTCATCTAGTATATTCTTTTGATTGTAAAATTGGTGATTGTAGGCACCGAAACACAGAATATATCGGATTTACTACTACGACTTTATCAAAAAGGTTAACAATGCATACACAAAATGATGCAACAAAAATCATCTAATGGATTCACACCAAATAAAATTAACAAGGGAAATATTAAATTCAAATACCAGTGTTATGTTACAACCATAATATAAGTAATGTAATTTGAGAATAGCAAAGGCTTTTTTAATAGAAAATAGAAACCCTGTAATAAACATCCAACAACAGACTGTAACGATCCTACCAACAAAGAAATTACTCACACAAAGAAACAATGGAACTTAGAGTTCATTTGTTAAAAATATTATATATATACTAGTTGACTCGGAGAACTTTATATAGCCTGCAAAAATATAAATTACTAAGTTCAATATTATTTCGATTTTTTTTTCAAACTGAATATCTGGATATTAATATAATTCATTGAGTCCGTCTTAGGAAAAGATATCTGAGTTTCGTTTATAAAAAAAAAGTTTATCAACTTTTGATATGAAAGGTGAATCGGACTTTTGGCTGACATGATGTAATTAATCTATTTTATCTTGCACTTTTCTCAAAGAAATGGGAATATTCGCTTATGGATATGGCTATAGTCGAAGTAGTTTGCTCATCTAAAATAGATTTAAAAGTGGTTAACTTAAATTAGGAATCAATAAAAAGATTGAAAAATTGTATCGTTACTAACCACGCATTGAATTTATCATGTGATATCACCGCCTCCTTGCATTTACTTTATTGAATGCAATCTAAATGATTGTGTATCATAGATGCACTATTTATGGGTGAAACTGTTTGCCTAAAAGTTTAACTTGTTTAGAATATCTTCACTGAAGCTTGAAGCATCTTATCCTTATGATACACAAAACGACGTCAAACGTTTAATACTGCATCGAAAAGATAATTATTCACAACTTGCAGCAACTACTTATATGTAGAATAAATATATTGGACCTATAATTGAAATTAAAAAGCGCTTTCCACGACGAAGTAATGTTAGAACAAATTCATCTCTGTTTTGTTATTAATCTAAAACAGAATTCTTTAACTTGGATCATATTAACTGTATTAAATTTATAAAATAAGTATTAATATGTCATAGGCATTCCAAGGTTCTAGGACAAATACCCCCCGGAAATTACCCCCCGGACAAATATCTCTTCCCCCGAGAAAAATTCCCCCCGAACAATTACCCCCCGGACTAAACCCACCTCCCATATAAAAACTCAAAGGACAAATAAATTATAATTTCTAATTTATTAGAGCAAATTGAGCTGTTGTTAATTTTCTTTCTAATGCAAAACATTAGCGTTTTATGTTTTTTCAATGATAATAGTTTATCCATATCTTTTACGATACATATTTCTGTTGTCTGTGAACTTAACTCAATTTTGTCAATATTTTTTGTTGTGAAGCATTTAAAACTTTGTATGCATCACTTTCTGTTAATTGTTTGCCAGTTTTAGATTACTTTGAGGACAATTATATAGGAAGACCAAAACGCCATGGTAGACGCCAACCAGTTTATGATATAAAAATATGGAACATGCATCAGCGTTGTGAAGATGAGTTGCCAAGGACAAACAATGCGGTTGAAGGTTGGCATAGATGTTTTCAGTCAAACATTGGATGTTACCACCCAACACTTTGGAAGTTTATTGAATTTTTACAAAAAGAACAAAGTATTCAGCAAGCACATTGCACTCAAATGTTGGCCGGTCATTCCTTACAACCTCCAAGGAAAAATATGCTAATTTAAATACAAGAAAACATTCAATAAACTAGAAAAATTACTTAAAGCAATGAATACGAATATTTTGCTTGGTAGGGTTTTTTGTACGGAGGATTTTTGCTCAGGGGGTAATTGTCTGAGGGATATTTTGCTCTGGGGGTAATTGTTCGGGGGGTATTTGTCCGGGGCGTAAATGTGACATATTCATACTTATTTTTATCAATCAATCTTCGTTTTGCGTCCAGAGACCCGGTTTCCCGAGGTAGGACGTTGTTCTCTTTGCCATCAACTTTTTGCGCCAAATTAGACAATCAATTGTATCCATTTCATTTAAATTTAGAGCTTTCATGTCTTGCTCGATTGTTTGCGACCAGGACTTCTTTGGACGGCCTTTGGGATGTGTGCCAGGTACTTCAACATCTGCAAGAGAAGTTATGGCACTGTTTCTACTTCGTTTGACATGACCAAACCACTGCAGACGGTGTTGCCGGCATTCGTCTTTTATATCATCTAAACCAGCACGACGCAAGATTTCGGTAGATTTGATGTGGTCCTTCAGACTAATTCGTTGCATCCATCGGAGCATTTTCATGTCGGTTTGTTGAAGTTGTTGTTCCAGTTTGGTTGTCATTGGCCATGTTTCTGCACCATATAACAACACCGGACGTATCACAGATTTATAAAGTCTTGATCGTAATGGTAGTGGAATGTCACGTCGCATCAATATAGAGGCAAGGAGATGCCATTTATTCCTGGCTGCACGTATGCGTGCTCGAACGGCAGCTTCAGCTGTTCCAGTACAATCCAGAACATCCCCTAGATATTGAAACGATGTGACTTTCTCTAACTTAATGGCTTCATAAACAATGCAATTTCGAATTTGTTGTTGCGGATTGATGCAAGCATGACAAACAAAATTGGACACTTTAGATAAAGTACCAATTATTTTTGAACAACGTTTGTGACACCACTGGCCACACTGCTGACACTTGATTGAATTAATACCAACACCAGCTTTACAAACTGAATAGGGCCATCGTCCAGTAGCTGTGGATTGGATGGGTTCACCAGTGTTCATTGCTTTGGTTTTGCTGATGTTGACTTTGAATCCATGATCGGCGAGTCTGGTGTTTCAATCTTCAAACACCTGTGCTGCATTCTGCTCAGACGTAGCTGTTAAAACGATATCATCAGCATTTATTAGATTCCAAATGTCACCAGTGCGTATCGGTTTTGTGATTTCTTCCATCACAGTTATAAATAACAGTGGACTGAGAATCGAGCCATCACAAGTCGAACAAGATATTCTGGAATGAGTTGTCGACGTAGACTCCACCTGATTGCTTCACAGGGAACTCGATCAAATGCTTTTTCAAGGTCTACAAAAATGTGTGATAGTTGTTGATGCTTTGGAAGTACTTCTCTTGCAGTTGCCGAAGGATGTGAATTGCATCAATTGTTGATTTCCCCTTTTCAGCTTCCACGTTTTGATTCTCCGAGGCATTTGTTTAGACTTACGTTTTGATAGTTGGACAACCAGGTCTGCCACAAGGAGTCTATGTTGGGCGACGCATGATTCGCCAGGTATAACTTTGACGTTTTTGGACAGCCTTCGGTGTGGTTGCTTGACAGCGAAGAAATCAATTTGCGTGACTGATGGTCCACTTTTGTATGTTATGAGATGTTCCAACCTCTTTCTAAAATATGTGTTCAGTAAACAAAACCCGTGACTTTCAGCAAACTCAAGGATGCGGTTGCCATCTTCATTCCGTTTTCCATAGCCAAAACCGCCATGTACTTTGTCAAAACCATCTGTTTTCTCTTCAACGTGGCCATTGAGATCGCCTCCAATCAGGATTGTTTCAGATTTTGGTATTGTTGAGATGGTGTCAGAGTATGCTGCCCAGAAGTCATTTTTCATCTCTTCTGATTCACCTGTCTGTGGTGCGTATGCAGAAAAAATCATCATTGTTTGCTTTTCTATGCGAAGCTTGGTCCAAATGAGAAATGAATTAATCCTTTTAATATCCAGTACTTCTTGGGCTAGCGGTTCTCTGACAAAAATTCCAACACCATTTTTGGCCGTCTTTTGACCATTCCAGAATAGTTTATATTTTTTTTTGTCTGAGTTGACATGACAGACACCATTCGATTTCCATCGGGTTTCCTGAAGGCAGCAGATGTCAATCCTTCTACGCTCGAGCATTTCTGCGATTTCCATGCTGCGGCCAGTCAGTGATCCAACATTGAGCGTTCCAAGTCTAAATTTATACTTATTACTTAATACTTATTTTTATATAATACTATAATGCTTTCTTATATAAACATGCAACCAATAAAACTTTGGCATACGATATAACTAATTGACTTAGCTGTCATTAATATACCATCATCATTAAAACATTTAAAAAATTATTATTTAAAATTGTTGACTAAGTGCTACTGCAATGTACTATGAGACAAATAAAACAAATATAACATAGCGAAAATCGGTCAGACGTTCTTGTGTGTGTGTGTGTGTGCTTGCGGGCTACATGCGTGTGTGTGCTCTACATTTTGTACATTTTGTTTCTAAGCATAAAATTTTCATTTCTGGAAATTCGTTTAGTATGCCTTGTCTTCTTTAAAACATAGAACAGCTATTGATGTTATGGACATGAACTTATTTAACTTTTTCAGGAATCCCCAATCATGTAGACACTCCAGAAGTTTTTGAAAAAGAAATTGCTATCATCAGCTTAGGGAGCTCTGTAATAGATATTTCTACTTACTAACACGATTTTTTGCTCATTTATTTTTATGAATAAATTTTGAAAGATTGTGATGGATTTCAAACACCCTGATGGAACTCATGTGCCAATTGTGTTGCCCAGATTTTCCGTTGCAATTTTAAAAAATGAAAGCCGTTACATCTGGTCTCACGGGATAGCTCCAAGATTATATGACCTAATTAAATCAGAGACAGGATTAACATTAGCAAGAAGATCTACCAGAATATCGTTCACTTTCAGAAAAATAAAAACGAAGTTACTAGGTAATTTTTTGTGATGCTTTCAGAGCTACTAAATTTAGTTTGATTTCAATTGGCGCTTTTCCCGCTACGAACAATTATTACTTTTGGTTGACATTCTTTATCAAATATTTAAGTTTTATGCGAAATTTTTCTTCCACTAATTTTAAAGTTATTTTTTGGTATGTTTGTGAATCACTTGTATTTAAATTACTGCTTTGTTTATATCTTAAATTTAATTAGTTTACATTGATCAGATTAAAAACAATTACTGTTTCAGGTGAAGAAATAAAAATAGATCAAAAGTAAATAAATTTTAGTTCCGTCAATTTTTATTTGCTGTGATTCAAATTGAAATTTATTAACAGATTTATTTCGCAAGATCATGCCATTTTACTAGAAAATAACTACGTCCACAAGGTTAGGACATGTACTACATTTTGGTGATACTTAACATTTAGCTAGTATATTTTTAACAATTCAATATTTTATACATTAAATTGCAAATTAAGATGATCGAACGTATAATTTTACTTCGGAATCTTCTTAAGTAAAAAATAATGGTGTAATGTGTTTTGTGCAATATCCAAATATCCAATTGTTTTTTTTTTATAATACATTCGTTCAAGGTTTACCAATGTAATGAAATTTCCTAAGCTTAATTGCGTTGCCATAACGGTTGATAACGATAAACTCGCTCAGGTTTACAACACAATAGCTCCACATTTCAGCAGAACAAGACATTCACCATGGCCTTCTGTTGTTAACTTTTTAAACCGTTTAGATCCATATGCCATTGTTCTGGATGTTGGCTGTGGAAATGGCAAATATCTTAATACAAGAAAGTCTGACCTGTTCATGGTAATGTTAATGATTTTATAGTTATGCTTAAAATTTTTTCTGTGCTTGATGATAGATGACAAAAAACTTCGAGAAGTTTTTGATATATTGGTAGTCTGGATATTTTACCGCTCACTGATGACGGAATCTACAAAGTGGAAATTATTTCGAATTATAAATTGAATAGTTCAAAACAGCAAAACAGTTATCAGACTTTTCAACAAAATTTTGATGCGTTTTGATGTCAGAGCAAAGGATTTATTTTAGATCTTTATAAAATATCCATTAAAAAGAGATGACATTGACATTTGCGAAAACTTTATTTTTTTTTAATTCCAAACGTTATTTCTATTTTTTTAAAGTAGTGTTTGCTAACAAATAGGTTCTTGAAACAGGTCTCAACTTTTTAATTTTTACTCTATGGGAAAAAAATGGAAAGCAAATAGATGCCTATCAAAATATGTACGTACGTGTATTATGTATGTTTGTGTGTGCGCGCGCGTGTGTGTATATGTGTGTGCAAGTGTACGATGTTTTTAACAAAGATTATAAATATTTCGTAATGTATGGATATACGTATGAATGGATGGTTGGACCTTCAATGTCGAAGATATAGGATTAGGTTGACTCTTGGGATGGATTTTTTCTCCGATGTCGATTGTAATCATACAATTTTGTGTCAACTTTTCCGTCTAGCCAAAGGTTACTGCGATTCCGTTGTAATTTAGAAGTGTTCATTATGGTACCGTAGGTACCACTTCAGCCAACTTTTGCTCCATTAAGTTGACTTCCCGAATCCTTATTAATGGCACACTGACTAACGACTTACGCATGATTACTTTCTTTCATTTTATATTTCTCTGACTGTTGATAGCCATTGTTTTCTTACAATTTGTCTGCAAAAACGTCTTATATGGCCCTTTTTACACAATTCTAGCATGTTAGTGGTTTTGTAACCCTTAACTACCAACAACAATGTTATAACTTCAAAGATCTCTATATTTCCAATACAGTTTTGTTGTTTCCAACGATCGTCAAGTGTTTGTTATTTCGTAGGTTCAAGATTTCCGATAGACGAACACAGCTGCTTCAAACGCAAACTTGTTGAACGTTTATTTGAATGCCACCAGTAATAGAAACACTAAACTAATCCAAGTAACTACATAAATCACATTTACGACTTCGCTTCAAACCTCGCTAGAAACCTAACTGAAAGCCTGTATTTCCGCAGGATACTGTATAGGCTTCTTTTTACGATCACTTACAATCCAAAGATTACAATATAGCAAAGATAACAATAAGTAAGATAACAAATAATAAAGCGCAATTTGATCAATCCAGTGATTATAACAGGGTTTTTCTATGTCTGTTAATAGACGTTGTTATTCATATTCTCTTTACAAAGCCGTTGTATAAAAAGGCTTTTTAATTGTAATTCCAGCATGTTGGCTTGTTTTTGTTCTAGTTTTTTGGGGCTACTTTTTGACACGAACACTCCTCGTGTAATAGGCGTACTTTTATATCAGTTTTTGACGCATGTTTTACAGCTTCGAACGTAAAGCCATACATGGCGGCATCCTTAAGACTGTTTATCTGCTAACAAGAGATTTTGGCGAAGCTCTGGATCTTGGAGGACTTTAATAAACGTTTCAGCGCAAATTCGTTTTTATGTTCATGGTGTGACGATGGATAAAATAACAGTCAGTCGTTTTATATCTTGTGCTAGATGTAGTTATTCTTTCTCACGGCCGTTGAGTTCTGTCCCTGAGCTAGTTTTATATACTTGCTTCATGTGCTCTTCCTCATACCGTAAATACAGATGTATTTACGGTGTTATTTGTTTTCATTTGTTAGATGTTAATCGCATCAATGTTAGATGCGATTAACGTTGTTGCAGCAACGTGGTTCGTGGCTATTTGTCGCTTCATTCTTCCAGTTTTAGAACTGACTTCTTGTTTGAAGTTGTCTATCTTTTGATCGGTTATTATCGATTATCGTTCTATCCGCTCTTTTTAATCTCTTGTTTCGGGTATCTGATGCTGATCAAATCTTTTATTATATTAATACCGGCCATCTGTTAATCAAATTTCTTTTAATTTGGCAGCTTGTAATTTCAGTTCGGCTGACATGTTCGTTGCCTGTTGATCAAATTTTTTTTTCAATTCGGCTGTTGATTTATCTGCCTATAATTTCAGTTCGGCTGAAAATTCAGCTGCTTATTGTGATATTTGTTTCATAAGATCCGGAAAGTCAAAGTAAGCAGGATCCGGTGGCGGAGCCCGTTGTGAGCAGAGTTTGTATTTAAAAATATCGTCAGCGTTATTTTGACAACTTTAGCCTAAATGTTGCCCCCCCCCGTCAGAAATTTGGCTCCATGGTCACCGGTGTCGGTAAACGTTTGAACATTTTCTAAATTCCCACCGGTCAATGTTGTTTAGTTTAAAAATTTAGGCCCCCGTTAAAGTTGTCTATATCTTTCACTGTCAGAATCGTTTATTTTTTTATTTTCGTTTATCAGATCGTCTCCGGTTCACTAATTTTCAGTCTAGGTTTCGTTTCCGTAGTTCCTTCACTAAATTAGTTGTATCGAGTTTTTCTAGTGCCGGCATTCTTTGTTCCAGAAGTTTTGCTCTGTTTTAGCCTTTAACCCTGATCAAATTAATTATTATTTGTTTGCAAAACACAAAAAACTGAGTATGCAGCCATTTTTTATTGATCAAATTAATTGTTTTCAATACTCGTCCTGTTGGTGTTTTCTATTACGCAAATTACGAAAACTACGTCATATATTTATTACTTTTGTTTTCAAAACACCATATTTAGCTTTTACCATTGATCAAATTAATTACTATTTGTTTGCAAAGCACACCCTTTTTTTCAATTACGCATATTCATAAAGATGACGTTAAAGCATTATTTTCAAATATTTATCTATTTATAAAAAAGATCCTCTAAAAAGAGTTGATTTTTTTATCGAAGGGTTTTTGGAACTTTATAGCTAGAAAGTCACCGATTTAATTGGCTTCAAATTTTGCGATTTACAAGTTTTAAACTGCAAAATATACTGATGGAAATGTACATTACGAAGTTTTATTATCGACATGCCATTATGTGGAATGATAAAGAGTTTGAAAATTTATTACCGATATTTTGTCATTTTGAATGCGGAAAAACGATCTGTTAGTGACAGGCAAAGATTATCATTATTTATAAGGTATCAAAAGTAATTTGAAAAAGAATACTTTCAATGGCGAACGAGAAAATATAATACAATTATATACAAACATACATACAGACTTAGATACATTCCAGCATACATTTAAAATAACATGCACCATTATTGTTATCAAATATCGACATTAAGAAATAATCGTAAGTTGGAAAATTAACGGGAAAACATCACCATATCGAGAAGCTTGGAAAATTATTATCGATTAATGAAAAAATTATTAACATGGGTATTCATAGGAGCTTAAGAAATTATCGTGAAATAATTTATTATCGATAACTGAGGCAAGTAGTAGAAATTTATTTTCATGTGGATATTTGTAAAATTAGTAAAATCCATTAGTTCGGAATTTTTTGTTCATGACTCGGTAAAGCCCATTTCCTATCTACATGCACATCTACATCATCTTTTTTATCCAAGTTAATGAAACTGCGGTTAATTTAAGTCATACAAGATCGACTGGTCAGGATGTTAATATTAATACAAATTTTACAGATCGGTTGTGATGCAAGTCCCACTCTCTGTCAAATCGGATCTTCCGTAGGTGAGGTTCAAATTTGCAATGTCGTGGCTTTGCCATATCCTGACTGTACTTTTGATGCTTGCATTTGTATTGCTGTGTTACATCATCTAGCATCACAGGTTTATACTTTATTAATTATTTATCTTTTATTTATCTATTAATTATTTATAAATCTTTATTAATTCGTCAACATTTGTTAATAAAGATACTAAAAATTCATTTTTTTTCTTAGGAAAGAAGATCTTTAGCTATTAAAGAAATTGTTAGGGTGTTGAAAGTTGGAGGCCAGGCTCTTATTTATGTTTGGGCTATGGAACAGGATTTTGCAGGAGTTAAGTCAAAATATTTGAAATCTGTTAAAAAAATTACAGAACTAACAGAGTTTCACAAAGTCGATGATAATTTGAGTCTTCCTGTACATAACAGCAAAACAACTTTCAAATATTGTGATAACTTGGTGCCGTGGACTCTTCAAACTGAATATCCTACTAAAGATGATCTCAACAGTGTTGAGGTCTATAAAAGATATTACCACGTGTTTTGTAAAGGAGAACTTGTTGAACTGTGCAGACAGTTTGATTCTTCATTGATAGTATCTAATGTTTTTTATGAAGAAGGTAATTGGTGTGTAGAAATAATCAAAACTAACAAAATTGAAACGATACTCTTGTAAACAATAAGAAAAATTAATATTGATTTATAACTATTAAGTTTTTAATAAAAATCTTCAAAGCACCGTTTCTGTTATCAATTTTTTGATGATAGCATTCACGTAAACTTTCGTAATTCAATCTGAGATGGTCGACAAGATAACGGTATGGTGGGCTTGCATTGTTTTGTAATACTTTCATCATCATGGTTTGGTTATGGTAGCTTCTTGATTCCTGGTGAAACAATGAAATGATAATTTAATTAGTGTTTATGACTAATCATAGTCTTATTCTAAAAGGAGGCACTCCGGAGTTTGATAAAAATGAATTTGGTCGTCAAAACCGATGCGTTGACCCAAACCTTCGAACCATTCAGCGAGCACAAGATTTATAGTAATTACGGTTATGTTAAATGCCATAGGTAGTATGTTTATGTACTAGATATATTGATGACATTTATATCACAGTTATATCTCAGATAAATATGCTTTTAATATTACTATTTTAACATTTTGATATAAAAATTGGTTACCATAGAATCACCGTTGGTTGTTTGGTGCTAAAGCATGTTCCTATGTGTCAACAGGTCAGACACATATCTGTTCCAGCATTGCCTGCATGCTTTGCCAAATCTTTCAAGCTTATTCGATTGCAGCCAAATATTTAGCTTAATACAGAAAAAGTTTCAATGGCATCCTCTCTTTCGTTCTCGTTCGTAATTTTTTTATTTCCAGCCTAAGATAAACTTGAAAACTCAAGCACGTGAGCTCAATGCTTTTCTTATCACTTCATCTCACCACCGGTTTATGTTGAAACCTCCCGTTTATTCACTCGACTTCATGGAATTTGTGCTACGTTTATTTAAACATAGTTATTCCAGGATTCAAACATTTATAATTTTGGTACGGTTTTTTCCACGTCCTCAAAAAGTGAACCATCAGCCACGCAAATTGATTTCTTCGCTGTCAAGCAACAACACCGAAGGCTATTTAAAAATGTAAAAGTTATACATGGCGAATCATGTGTCACCCAACATAGACTCCTTGTGGCAGGCCTGGTTGTCGAACTGTCAAAACATAAGTCTAAACAAATACCTCGGAGAATCAAAATGTGGAAGCTGAAAAGCAATATTCATCGAAAAAAATTTCAACAGATTGTCGCAACACAGACCACCAATCGCAAGCCAGTACAGATTGGAGTACATAAAAAACCGTTTTGATAAACGCTGCAACTACAGTTTGTGGGAAAACTGGTACAAAACGTCAGCATGAACGTGACGCTTGGTGGTGGAATGACAGTGTACAAAATGCAATAGCTGAAAAGAAAGCTGCATACAAGCAATGGCAAAAATCAAAGTCTGTTGATGACCACAAAATTTTCCGTGAGAAGAACAACTATGCAAGACGTCAAGTCTCACTGGCTCGGACAGATCAGCGCAGAAAGTGGCTCACTAAAAGCAAAGGTGAACAAATGAAATATTTGTATCGTATAGCAAAACAAGCAAAGCGTACGAAAAAAGACAGTTGGTGCCTCATGTATCAAAAACGAGATGATTCTTGAACAAGAAGAGATCAAGCTACGGTGGAGAGAATACTTCAACCGTCTGTTAAATGAAAGAAATCCCATCAATGTCAACTTTGACGCTCCACCCACCAAAGGTCAGATTCCAGAAATCACTGTAGAAGAGCTTACAGAAGCTCTGAAAGCTATGAACGATGGAAAGGCAGCACTTCCTGAAAATTGTCGAGAAAATCATTGAGAGAAAAATAACGTGCATTACAATCGGAAATTATTAATTTGGTGTCCCAGCGGGGAAATCAACAATTGATGCAATTCACATCCTTCGGCAACTGCAAAAGAAGTACCTTGCAAAGCATCAACAACTATCACACATTTTTGTAGACCTTGAAAAAGCATTTGAATTCCCCGTGAAGCAATCAGGTGGAGTCTACGTCGACAACTCATTCCAGAATATTTTGTTCGACTTGTGATGGAAATGTATACGCATAATAAAACTCTCGTCAGCACAACAGTTGGATTTGACATCGGCGTTGGAGTTCACCAAGGCTCGATTCTCAGTCCACTATTATTTATAACTGTGATGGAAGAAATATCACAAAACCGATACGCACTGGTGACATTTGGAATCTAATAAATGCTGATGATATCGTTTTAACAGCTACGTCTGAGCATAATGCAGCACAGATGTTTGAAGATTGGAACACCAGACTCGCCGATCATAGATTCAAAGTCAACATCAGCAAAACCAAAGCAATGAACACTGGTGAACCCATCCAATCCACAGCTGCTGGACGATGGCTCTGTTCAGTTTGTAAAGCTGGTGTAAGTAGCAATTCAATCAAGTGTCAGCAGTGTAACTAGTAGTGTCACAATCGTTGTTCAAAAATATTGGTACTTTATCTAAAGTGTCCAATTTTGTTTGTCCTGCTTGCATCAATCCACAACAACAAATTCGAAATAGCACTGTTTTTGAAGCCATTAAGGTAGAGAAAGTCATAAAATTTTCGTTGAGAACAGCTGCCTTTCCATCCTTCTTAGCTTTTAGAGCTTCTGTAAGCTTCTCTACAGTGATGTCTGCAATCGGACCTTCGATGGGTGGAGCGTCATAGTTGACATTGATGGGATTTGTTTCATTTAACAGACGGTTGAAATATTCTTTCCACTGTTGCTTGATCTCATCTTGTTCAAGAACCATTTCATTTGGTACTGCAGGTATCCAAACGTTACTACAACTTTGCCGTGAAATCTGGAGAAATTGCTCAATGCCGACTGAATGGAACTATAGCATGACAGTTCCGCTATACAAAGGCAAAGGTGATCCAATGAGCTGTTCATCATATAGGAGTATAAGTCTGTTAGAACACTCCCTGAAAATTGTCGAAAAAATCATTGAGAGAAGATTAACGTCGTGCATCACAATCGGAAATTATCAATTTGGTTTTCTAGCGGGAAAATCAACAATTGATGCAATTCACATCCTTCGGCAACTGCAAGAGAAGTACTTCCAAAGCATCAACAACTATCACACATTTTGTAGACTTGAATAAGCATTTGATCGAGTTCCCCGTGAAGCAATCAGGTGGAGTCTACGTCGACAACTCATTCCAGAATATCTTGTTCGACTTGTGATAGAAATGTATACGAATACTAAGACTCTCGTCAGCACAACGTTGGAAACACAGATGCAATTGACATCGACTTTGGAGTTCACCAAGGCTTGATTCTCAGTCAGCCAATACGCACTGGTGACCTTTGGAATCTAATATATGCTGATGATATCGTTTTAACAGCCACGTCTGAGCAGAATGCAGCACAGATGTTTAAAGATTGGAACACCAGACTCGCCGATCATGGATTCAAAGTCAACATCAGCAAAACCAAAGCAATAAACACTGGTGAACCTATTCAATCCACAGCTACTGGACGATGGTCCTGTTCAGTTTGTAAAGCTGGTGTAGGTAACAATTCAATCAAGTGTCAGCAGTTTAACCAGTGGTGTCACAAACGTTGTTTAAAAATAATTGGCACTTTATCTAAAGTGTCCCGCTTGCATCAATCCCCAACAACAAATTCGAAAAAGCAATGTTTTTGAAGCCATTAAGGTAGAGAAAATCACATCGTTTCAATATCTAGGGGATGTTCTGGATTGTACTGGAACAGCTGAAGCTGCCGTTCGAGCACGCATACATGCAGCCTGGAATAAATGGCATCTCCTTGTCTCTATATTGATGCGGCGGGACATCCCACTACCACTACAATCTTTATAAATTTGTGATACGTTCAGTGTTGTTATATGGTGCAGAATTATGGCCAATGACAACCAAATTGGAACAACAATTTCACCGAACCGATATAAAAATTTTCCGATGGATGCAACGAATTAGTCTGAAGGACCACATCAAATCTACCGAAATCCTGCGTCGTGCTGGTTTAGATGATATAAAAGACGAATGCCGGCAACACCGTCTGCGGTGGTTTGGTCATGTCAAACGAAGTGGAAACAGTGCCATAACTTCTCTTGCAGACGTTGAAGTACCTGGCGCACGTCCCAATGGCCGTCCAAAGAAGTCCTGGTCGCAAACAATCGAGCAAGACATGAAAGCTCTAAATTTAAATGAAATGGATACAATTGATTGTCTAATTTGGCGCAAAAAGTTGATGGCAAAGAAAACAACGTCCTACCTCGGGAAACTGGGTCTCTGGACGCTAAACGAAGATTGATTGATTGATTTTTCCACGTTGTCAATGTTTTACAAGCATGGGGCTTACACCATTTCAATATCTGTCTAAGCCGCTTATTTCTGCTTTATGTTGCCTCTCCCGAAATATTGTACAACCGAATGCCTTCTATTAATTTTGTAACCATCAAACATACATCACTAATTTTTGTTCTGGTCTCCTAACTAACAAAACAGTTTTTACTTTGGTTTTTTTGCCCGTGGGACCCTGCAACCTGATTCATGCAGTCAATATTGGCCCTTCTTTAATACACCTGTCGATTCCGTCTTGTTCTTTGCATATATCAATGGCCCAACATTTCATGAGCCGATCCAAACATTTTTTCGTTGATTGTTTATCCAACCGGCTTGTTTGGAATGGATTTGAAAGGCAACATTAATCACATTAAAAAAAGAAGCCGTCAGAAAAACGGTTTCGAATCATCCAAAAACAAATAATATAATAAATGAGTTTTGCAAAATATTCAAAATTGTGAGGGGTACAGAATATTTTAGTTAAATTTGAATATTTTAGTTGTACAAAACATTATCGATTGTGTAATAAATTGTAACTAGTTAAAAAATTATGCTTTGTATAAAAATTAAAAATTATATGATGAAAAATTAAAATCCAAATTAAATATTACATAACCCTTACAATTGTAAATGAATCTCTTTTGTCCCTAGCTAGTGAGTTGTTTTCTGGATTAAGGTTACAAGGTTTGTCACCGTCTAGAAAAAAACATGGGTGTATTACATGGAAATTTGGGTAACAGTTCAACGCA